TTATAATAATTTTAACCAATGATAATTAAAAACAAAGATTTCCTGTTCAGGTTCTCTCCTCTCTCTCTAAGGACTTGCATAAAAAGAATTTTTTTTTTTTTAAAGAAAGTAATGGAAAAACTAAGGGATTTAAACAAATTTTCTGAATGCCTGAAAGCAGACAAAATGTCTAAGCAAAGCAAAACTGATTAATTCCATGAAAAGGGACTCAATGGTTTCGGACTTATCAGCCAGCTGCAAACAGGACCTTGTTCAGATCCTGCTTCAAACTACTCAAAAATAAAGCTGAAAAAATATACTTATTTGTATCAAAACTAATACATCAAATATACTTATTTGATGACATTCAAGATTTATTTTACCAGATATAACAATGGTATTGTCATTATGTTTTTTTAAAGGAGTCCTTGTCTTGTAGAAATACATCCTGAAATGTAGGTATGTCTGAAATTTTATTAAAACTAAGGGGCTGGATGGGTGGGGAGAGGGGAATTGAAGAATAGATAAAAACAATATTGGCCACATTAGCTGCGGACACTGCTAACGCTGATTGATAAATACAGACGGATTCGCCTACCACTCTCTAGTTTTGTATGTATGGCTTGCAACTTTTCATAATAAAAGGTTTTTTGTTTTTTTGGGGTTTTTTTAAATATATTTTATTGATTTTTTACAGAGAGGAAGGGAGAGAGATAGAGAGTGAGAAACATCGATGAGAGAGAAACATCGATCAGCTGCCTCCTGCACATCTCCCACTGGGGATGTGCCCGCAACCCAGGCACATGCCCCTGACCGGAATCGAACCCGGGACCCTTCAGTCCGCAAGCCGACGCTCTGTCCACTGAGCCAAACAGGTTTCGGCAAAGGTTTTTTTTAAAAAAAAATAGTAATAAAGAAAACTACTGCCCATAACACAAGGTGGAAGGGAGCATACGGCAGAGATGAGAGATAAGCAATGGTCCCAGCAGAACCTCAGAGGGCATCCACAGTAGGAAGGTATGGAGGCCTAGAAACAGGTAAGTTCATTAAAAGTCTTTCTAGAAGAAAGGTCTAGTTAGTTCCTCCTTTCCTCTCTAACCGCCCCTCAAAATAATAACAATAATAAAAAAAAAAGCATGTCTCTAAAGAAAATAAACATACTATATGGAAAGAACTAGGCCTCCTAGGGTGACTGTTGGTCCTACTTATTACTCTGGCATCTAGAATACTCACGGCCTGACAGCCAGCTCTCAAACCATTTGCAGAAAACTAAATAAAGTCAAGCTCACCAGTTGACCTTCAATAACCAGAACTTCCAATCAGCCTTCTAATTTCCTCATCCTCAACCATCTATGGACAATAGAGAATTTTAAGGCAGTAGTGGCAAAACTAACACAAAGGAGAAAGACAAAGATAAAAGAAAAACTGACCCTTTAGGAAATAAATTCCCTAGATAATAGAAAAGACTTTAACATTCCAGATTTGACAACCATAAACCATGAATAAGATACTAAGAAAAAGCCACAATCACTCATAGAAATTAAAATAAAATTTTCTATATTAGAGTCACAATATAAAGGAAATCTCCTAGGTTATACAGTAAAAAATAGAGATGAGAAATATGAAAGAAAAGTCAGAGAACCAGGGAATTCAAGAGGTCCGACATCCAAAAAACACACATTTCAGGAAGAATAGGAAAAACATGAAGGAATCTATTAAAAAAAAAAAAAAAAAAAGAAATTTTTTCAGAAACAGATACATGAATCTTAAACCTGAAACAGTTCTTCCAGTATACAGAGTAAGATGATCCAAACCTAAGCATATCCTCATATAATTATTGAATACCAAAAATAAAGAAAAAATGCTAAAAGTTTCCAATGATAGAAATTGGTAATATATAAATAACATCTCTGCTACAATTACATAGATCTATACGTGACACGTATCCAAAACTTAACTTGTACTTACACTCACCAGAAAGCCATTCTCCCTTCTATCTATTCTCTATTTGTCTTTCAAAATCCCATTCAATCATGTTCCCTTTGTTAAACTTTTCATCAAGTTGTTTATCTACTGTGATCTTAACCTTGCTGCACCACTCATTCATTTGAAATTCAATCTGTATTACTACTTACTTCTGAATTGCTGTAGCCAGCTATCATTTCTTGGAATTTATTTAAACTATTGGTTCACAGGAAGTAAGAACAGTCTTAATTTCTTTTTAAAATCTTTTACAGAATCCTGCAGCCAGGAGACCTGAAACTTCTTCTCAGGACATAATCTTAACTTCATCAATGGCTTATAGTTCATCTTATCTTTTCCTAAATTCATTAAAAAGTATTACCTATATAATAAAAGCCCACGCGACTATTACAACAGAGCAACTGGTTGCTATGATGCGCACTGACCACCAGCGGGCAGACAATGCAGGAGCTGCCCCTGGTGGTCAGTGCGCTCCCACATGGGGAGCACCGCTCAGCCAGAAGCCGGGCTCAAGGCTCGTGAGCGCATTAGTGGTGGTGGGAGCCTTTCCTGTCTCTGCGGCAGTGCTAGGAGCAGCGAGCCAAGCGGTAAGGAGCAGTGAGTAGGCAGGCGGTAAGGAGCGAAGGGTCCCAAACTACGAGAGGGCGGAGGCCAGGCTGAGGGACAACCCTCTCACGCCAGTGCACGAATTTTGTGCACCAGGCCTCTAGTATATATATGTAGGTAAAGTTGAAGGAACTTTTAGGAGGAAACACATATAAATAGCACAGAGGTAATCTTTTTTGAAACCCCCACAAACTTTAAGTTATATTTCCTAATTGCAACTAGTTACCCTAAACAGGGACCAACAGTACTTTCAGTGCTGACAGCACACAATTCAGAGGAAGAACAAAGAAGGATTCCTCTATGGAAGGGGTGGGAGGGCAGAGGAGATATGCTGCCCCGAGTAGTGAAACAACTGTCTTGGACCAATATCTAAGAGGCAGTAGCTATTCCGACCCAGATAATAAGCCAGTGCAGTAAGAAAATTCAAACAAAGTCTGGGTCTAAAATTTTATACACCAAAATCAAATTCTAGACATTCTATCAAACAGTAAAAATGCCTATAACCTTGCCCTCTCAAACTTTTAATACCTGCTGGGAAGCAACAAAGGCTAAGAAACCTACTGGTTACAGGATTATGATGAAGTACATTTAACAACAACAGAAAACACCTGATGGACTCAAATTTTGCAAGAAAGCTTTTTTTTTTTACCCTCTTTATTGTTTACTGTTAATTTTTAAAAAAAAGAAAAGATTTTTGTCTATGAATCCCTATACATGAAGAAACTTTTTTTTTTTTAATATATTTTATTGATTCTTTACAGAGAGGAAGGGAGAGAGATAGAGAGTTAGAAACATCGATGAGAGAGAAACATCGACCAGCCGCCTCCCGCACATCCTCTACTGGGGAGGTGCCCGCAACCCAGGTACATGCCCTTGACCGGAATCGAACCTGGGACCTTTCAGTCCGCAAGCCGACGCTCTATCCACTGAGCCAAACCGGTTTCGGCCATGAAGAAACTCTTGAAGGAAGAAAGTTCCAATATATGTGAATGTTTTCCAGTTCTAATACAAATCAGGCTGTCTTTGTCCAAAGTGGTTTAAAAAAAAAAGTACGAAGAATATCTCTTAAGTTTGGCAATTACTGCATAGCCTTTCTTTCTTAGACTTCACACATATGGTTCATCTAGCAACCACGGTTAATAGACTATGTTCAAGAACCAGCTTTCACTAAAATTTCTAGGAAAGGAGGAAGGAGATACTTCTGAGTGTTTCCTTGCGCTGAGCTCTGACTAATCAAGCAGTACTAAGAGTTTCCTTCCTCAATGCTATAGCCCCCACTTGTCAGGCTGAGCTCTGACAAGAAATTCCATTATGAACATCAGTCTAATTAAACTGACAGACACTATTCCCAGTCAAATAAACTGTTACTCCAGTTTTCATTTAAAATATTTTTCACTCCCTTTAAACTTATAGGTGAAAGCATAAGAGCAGATATACAGGCACACATTATTCCCTTCTAGACTGCTGTTTTAAAAATAAAATATTTTCAGCATTTCTGCTGCAATATACTCTTCCTTCTACCAATTTGTTAGTATTTGTAAATACAATGCATACCTAACATCAAAAGACAAGAAAATAGCAATAAATGTGCCTCTTTAGGAAGAATAAATATACTTGTAGTCTAATAAGGTATGAATACAAATTATTGAGAAATTATTAAAAACTATAAAATAATTTATTCTGACAGGTTTTTTAACCATATCTTTCACGACTTGCTTTAGAGTTCTCAATACCAGAACTGGATGAAAATTATTTTTATGGACATAAATATAAATGTAAAGCCACTACATTGTTAGATAGACATTATCTATTAATACATCACTTCAACTCAATCAAAGGTTTCTGTGAAGTATTATTCTGAAGGTATTATTTTAAATTAACAGATGTTTCTAATAATTTCAGTGACATGTTACAACATCCTATTTTTAAATAAAAAATATTTAAGGAACAAATTTTAAAAATAATCACTGACACCTGTACGCACCGTTTCGATTTACTGTGACATAGAAATCTCACAGAAAGTCAGTTTATTAGGAGTAGGAATCTATTTTGTCACCTAGTCAATGGAGATGGCTAATGCAGATATACAGGAAAAAATTACATTTTCTAAAAATCACAATTTAAATGGAAATCCAGAAAGAAAGGTATAAACAATATTCTCAGTTCAGTAAGAAAGAAATTAAAAAGATATAAATATATCAAAATCTTTAGTTATTTTTTCCTTTCAAGTAAACTTTAAAAGAAAAATTGTGTTTACCTACTTCAAACTACAGCACCAATACCTTTCTATTGAAGTTCAAATAGTAATATTTCTAATGGCCCATAAAAATAATGGAAACACCAATCCCTCAACTTGAAATAATCCATAAAATGCAGTAACTTTTAAAAGCTTTGCTTGAGTTGAGTCTTTTATTTATTACAGAAATACTCACATGTGTGGGTTTTGAACTCCTGTAGGATTGGGATTCAGAGTAAACCTTGCTGTAGATTTGAAAGGTGGATTTGCAAAATTCAACTTCAGTGCTTTGCGTTTACCTAAGAAATAACAAATAAAAAGTAAAAGTTTCAAGTACTATAAAACAGGTACTATTCTGAGGGCAAAAGAAATTATCAAAAGGCAAAAAAATTTGCTTTAACATATAGTTATATGTAATATATATACATATGTATATATATTACATAATATAATTATGTAATAAAATAGACATAATATTAGAGCATAATGTTCTAAAATGCAACCAGGAATTTTCAGAATTAAGGAAAAGTAAATCAAAATGATCTAAAGTTGTTACTATCCATAAATCACTCAATATGCTCCAGTAAAACAGAAAACAATGCTCAGTGCATCCTTTATATTGTTCAGAGATGCTAACACTTTTGCAAATGAAAATACCAACATGAAAATCATTTACCTCAGCAGTGACACTGAAAAATGCTAAACCTTTCCAGTGTTATACTTTAATGCTTTAGTTTAATAAAAATCATTTTCCCTCAAATATGCTATAAACAAGTTAGAGTAGAATCTGAAGCATTCGCAAGCACAATGAGCTAAAAATTATCATGGCAGGGTCAACTTCAAATTAATAATAAAGGTATGCCAAATAATAATTTATTTGGAGCAATTTCTTTGGGAAGGAGGAAGGTATCAATGTTTTACATCAAACTAACAAAACATGTCCATTATAAAAAGCCAGAAATATCAGAAATGATAAATCAAAAAATATATAAAATATAATATATACATCTATAAAATACATATTTGAAATATTTATATACACTTAAAAGTCCAATTACCCCAAACTAATCATTGTCTGTTTCCGACTATTTCCTATACATATATTTTTTTCTCTACAATTAAAATCAGACGGTAATACCGTTTTATAGCCTGCTTCACCCACTGATCATGTTTCTTTCTATTTCAATAAATCTTATAAACCATTTCTTTAGGATTCTAGTATATGGAAACTGTAACTAAGTTGGGATTTTAAGCATTTTTAAGCCCATCTTGGTTTCATTACATTTTAAGGATACTTGTTCGAGCATTCACTCTTCACACTAAATTATACATATTATACATATGTCTCCCCACCCAAACATCTCTGAAATCCAAACACTTTCCCACCTCTCTGGATTCAAAAGATGAATTAGAGAACTCAACCTGTGCAGCCCGGTACTTGGATGGGATTTGGAAGTTTGAGTGTGCACACTAGCTGGACAAGACCGCAGAATGCACAGAACTCCTGGCAGGGTTCCGATCAGCTCTTAGGGCTGGGCCTTCTACAGGACGTGAATTCCGAAGACCAGACACATCATTTTCAGAGATAAGCACAGTACGACATGAATTTTCCACATAATTTGCCTTTCAGTTACCAAATATCTACCAAATAGCTGGTTTGGCTCAGTGGATAGAGCGTCAGCCTGTGGACTGAAGGGTCCTGAGTTCGATTCTGGTCAAGGGTACATGCCTGGGTTGTGGGCTCAGGCCCCAGTCGGGGGTGTGCAGGAGGCAGCTGATCAATGATTCTCTCTCATCATTGATGTTTCTATCTCTCTCTCTCCCTCTCCCTTCCTCTGTGAAATCAATAAAAATATATTTTTTTAAAATGAAAATAAAAACTTGGGAAAATAAATACAAAATCAGAAACTCTAAATATACAAAAACATCACACAAATCAATAAAAATTTAAAAATTGGCAAGGGTATAAACAGTAAAGAAAAATTATAAAAGAATTATTAAAGGCACTCACTAATACCAAAAACAGTTAAAAATTTTATTCATGTGAAATTAGCAAAGTTTAGAGGTTTTATTTTACACATATGCATATATATTTTTAATGATAACATATGATCAAAGTGACTAGGTCAAATAATCACTAGTATAATACACTTCTGGTGGAAAAGTAAATTGATATCTTTTCTGGTGAGAAGTTCAGCAATATACAAGAAAGATTTTTAAATAAATGTGCTCTTCTACTTCTTGGAAATCTGTCTTTAGGAAATATTTAAAGGCAGATTATTCTCAGGCCCTGAAACTTGGCAGAATTTGCCCTGATGGATTTTGAAATTGCTTGGGACTGCTGCCTCCTCTCTTCCTTCAATTGTCTCCTGTTCTCCCTTCAATTTCATCCAATGCCTGACCCACCACTGTATCTTGGAAGCAGATAACTGGCCTTCTTGTTTATATATAAAAATGGGTCGCATTCAATCTCACCCATACCTGATGTAGAGGATTTTGGTGGTCAGATTTCAGACGCTGGAGCTGATTACGTCCAGGTGAGATCTGGATTGGACCTGTAGGGTGAATGTACTTTGCACTTGGGGCAGATGTGAATATTTGGGAGCCAGAAGGCAGACTGTAGCAAACTGAATGGTGGACCCCAAAGATAACAGGTCCTAATCTTTGGAACCTATGAATGTTACTTTATATAGTAAAGTTCCTGAAGATAAAATTAATATAAGGGCTTTTGCAATCATAAATTTGAATAAGCTCAAAGTCCACAAACACCCCAAATCAAAGCTGAACACCACATATCATGTGAAGTACATCTGAAACCACCCAGTACATGGTCCATCACCTCTATATGGTGAAAATGATAAAAGACTAAGATCAAATGTAGGACAATGACACAACAAAGATTCATTGTGAAAACTACCCAAAGAAAAAAATCAAAATTGGTCCTTCCTTCAAAAGCCTAATTTTAGAGGGCAGTAGCTCACCTCTGCAGGCAAACAAAATATATTACTACAATTAAAACTTACTCAAACTGTTTTATTGAAAATAAATATTTATATATAATGCACAACACAGGTTCTATTTCAACATTGCAATCACATTTAAACAAAAATTAATTGGGGTCTTCAAAGGGCATTTATTGCAAAAATGAATAAGCACATGTGTAATGGAATATGACTTAACTTGCATAAATTAGATGTAAACACACTCTATACTTCAGAAACACTTGCAGCTATCTTGAAAATTACCCAGTATATATCCTGATCTTTCACTAGCAAAATACATTAAATAATTCTATAAACTTCAAAGCTCCTTTAAGCAGAGGTGACTGAGAGCCTAAAGCTGGTGCCAGGGAGTTCAGGATAAGATCAAGTTACATAACCTGTTCTCTATAGTGCCCCCAACTCTCCAAATGATCAGTTAAGATGAACTCACAAGGCAGCATTAAGGAGGAAAAGGAACAGCCCGGAAAGTCAATCAAAGGTGAGCTTCAGGGAAGGACAGTAAGAGGCAACTTTACAATACTCCGGAGAGGAATTTCCTGGCTATATGTAGATCTGTAGACATGAGCCTTTTATGTTTGTTTGTTTAAAACATCTCTCTTCTCATTAACTTTCTCTAAGAACCTCAAGTACTGGTCTTTCTCATCTTTACTTCTCTTTCTCAAAGACCACAAAAACTAAACCCTAAAGGCAACTTGTCACCATGTATTCAGATATTTTTAATGGCAAAACTATAAATAAGACATTAGACTAAAATGAATTTTTTCCAAAAGCCTGCAACAACTTCCATAGGAAGAAAGGGTACAGGGAAAGAAGTGATACTATAACTGGGCTGTGGAGACTGTTAGAAGCTAAGAGAAATTAAAATATTTGTACAGCAGGGTTTAAAGTTCTTGATCAAGAAAGATTATAAACTTGTGATTATAATTACCCCTTTGGTGAGACTGTCACCAAATAACCAATTCCTAACCAGTCAGCAGAGATAAACAGATCCTCCCCTTTATCTACAACAGGCTAGAAACCAGGTATGATCAAACATCTTAAATTATTTATGTGGCAGGAGAAAATATCTTCTCTCCTAAAAGAAAAGATTGTCTTTATATATTTAAAGCCTAAGTTCTGTGCCTTATGTAGAAAATGCTCTCAAATGTTTATTGATCTGAAAATAAATTTGACATGGACAGCCCCAGACAACTCAGTGTGGGTTAAATTAGCTAGAATAAGTTTCTGTTGTTTGCAACCGAGAACCCCAACTGATAAAAAAAAAAACAGTATCTGTCCTCAACCCAAAATGTTTGCAAAGCATGGCTATATCCTTTAGGGCAGCACTGCCTAACTGTCTCATGCTCTGGCTTATAGAGAAAATGAGGATGTCTGTTCAACACACTGGGAAAATTAGAGTAATAGCTAGTCCAGAGGCTGGCCTAGTGGATCAGCAGCCTCAGGCCCCACTCAGCCATTCCAAGATCTGAGGGTACCAATCTCTGCACCACCATTGAAATTCTGGTTTCAAAGCTCTCCCTTAAGAGAACACCCAGTACAATTTAAACAACCTTGCTCACATCATCATCTAAGACAATTTCTTCTTCAACAGTTCTCATGAGAGAAGCATTCCCAAGCATGGGATCTTTAAGAATATTCAGAACTATGACTGAAGAACAAGAATTTGTCCAAGCATATCCATATTCACTCAAGCCTAAGAATATCTTTTGCTGTAATTCTGACTACAGAGCATCTCACAGGGTCACACAATATTAAAGTTAGAAGGAAGGTATCTTTCAGCTGTATTTGGCCTTAAGCAAGATAAAGAGCCCTGAATATTATCCCTCCATTTATCTTCTCAAGTAATACAAACCTTTAACATCACTTTCATAATATTCTAAGCTGAGCCAACAGTTGAGTTCAGCCTTGGTCAAAGATATCATGAAGGGCAGTAGAGAGTCTACCACTCAAATATGGAAGATGACCACTCTGCAATCTAGATTACCAAAAGCATCTCTCCCCCACCTTCCATAGATAAGAAAAAGGTGTCATTTCCCTGTTATTTATTAAGCAGCAGCATTATGTAGTTTCCAAAACCAGTCCATCCTCAGAGAGATACTATGTTTACACTGGGTCCACCTTGTAAACCTCTCTCATACTCCTCAAGGCTGTTCCCATCATCAAATTGTGTACTATTTTCTGTTCTAAATGTTTAACTATTTTGATTTATCTTTAAGCTCTGCAAATCATCTGTAATAGGTAACTAGAATAGCAGTTCAACAAATATAGGGTGTCCCATAAAAATATACACACACTGA